GCAGAAATAACAAGGGAAAAGACCCTTGTGCCCCTGAGTACAATAACAGCCATAACAGAAAGGAAAAAACGAAATAAAAGAAACACTTTAACTAGCCAAACAGACCCTAACATCAACAACTAAATTATTTTAACAGTTCTCAAGAAGCTCTGATGGTTGGTGATCAAATTACTTAATTGCGTGCAATTAAATCAGTTCTGAACTCAAAAATCATTCCTCCAACAACAACAATGTATCAACAGGCAACAAACGCAATAGAAAATAAGAAGTATTTAAGGAATCACATCTATAAGAGTTGCATAAACTCAAATTCCATTCATCATCGTTAAAGGAACATAGTGCATTTATAGGTTGATATTGAGGTGGCTGGGTAAGAAAAAAATGCACTAACTACCCAGTCAATAATGTAATAGGTTGATAATCTATAAGAATGCCAAAGGAATTTATGGATAAAAGATAGAATTTAAAGACTATGGCACCTTACATGAAATGGATAGAAAATGATAGAAATATTTCTACCATCAAAAAATATAAGAAGTAAAGAAAAATAATATTCAATAGAACCATCCTTATTCTTGCTTGCGTGCCACATAAGTGGCTCTGATGGTTAGGTTCTTCCAAGAAATTATTTTCTCAAACCTTATGTGTTTATATGTACCTGCTGCCTGGCGTAACATTTATCAGACTTGGCTTGCTTGAGCTTGATTCATGAACTGGAAAAGAAAATGTTTGCTGAAAATTGGAGCTTGGTTAAGAAAATGAATAGATTGCATTAAAAAGCTTTGCTTCTTGCAGTACTTACCCTCTCTGTTAATTTTTTTGTTGGATGATATAGACCTGCCTCAATGGACTGCCAGTTAATGATAGATGACAATACAAGATATATCATTCAACACCTTTGATGTTGAAGGGGAATGAGGTTTTGTGCTATTGAGCCTTTATGCTGAGATATTGGATGATACATGCACTTATCAGGCAATTTGCAGTCATTCAGCACAATGTAAAACATATAGTCATGTCCTCTGCAATATATTCTCATGGAATCCTTTTACTATTATATATCTCATGGAATATTATTTTCCCCTTGGTGGACCATTTGTTAGTGGTTTTTCTTTCTGGCCTTTTGCAGATTCTTTTGGGGTAAGGTGGAATACAAGGGCTAATGGGCTTAGTTGCATCTGAGAGAGAAATATTTAGCCTTTCAGGACCATCACACCTGACAGCTGTTGACTGGTATGGCATCGTTTCCCTTTACCATGAAGTCTTTTCTTGGACAACAGTAATGGACTTACCTCTGTCAGTCATTACTAAATGTTATATACATGCAGCGGTTGAGACAAATATTCTACACTAGATGCCAGCAAACCAATTTTATGTTACCTGTGGCATTACATCAATTTTTCTACTCAGTGAAAAAAAAAAAGAATTATTGAAAAGTAAAATAGTTTACCTGCTCAAAACATGGTTAAAATTCCAATTAGAAATACTAGTCATATGACAGTACCGGTGATGATGAACATTCTCTAAATCCCATATCATCCAAAGCTGTCATATTTTATATCTGTAGTTATGTTATTATCAGGCCCTTGACTTGATTGTGGTATAGCTAACATTCTTATCTCCAGTTGGGATTGTTTCTGGGTGTTTTTGATGATAGATAGTGGTTCATACACCTGATACTGTATGTGCCAGATAACCTTCAAATGCCCATCTTATGTGATACCCTATATTGTACTCTATATGAAGATGAACATGAAATTCTTTGCAAATTTATTTTTGTTGATCCATTAAATGAAACTTCTATATGCAGGAATAGTGCACATCATCAAAGATCTGTCGCAGCCACCTTGGTTCAGGGTGTCTACATTCTAGAGAGGGACCGCCAGGAGAATCGCCATGGGCCTGAAGCCCTTGCTCCCCCTTGGTGGGAGTTTTTCCATTTTCAATTGATTCGTCAGCTTGTGGATGATGCTGATTCTTCCATCTTTGGGGCCATATATGAATTCAAGCCCCCATTTTCCTGCTACATACAGAATGCTCCGAGATATGTCATTGCCTTCCGAGGCACCATTACCAAACCTGATTCTTTCTCACGGGATCTTAATTTGGACCTTCACTTCATCCGGAATGGACTTCATCAGACCTCCCGAGTTGAGATTGCAATACAGGCTGTCCGGAATATGGTTGCTACAGTTGGATCTTTGAATATCTGGTTAGCTGGTCATTCTTTGGGGTCTGCTGTGGCGATGCTTGCTGGGAAGACCATGGCCAAGATGGGCAATTTTCTAGAAACCTTTCTCTTCAATCCGCCTTTCCTCTCTGCCCCCATTGAAAAGATAAAAGATAAGAAGTTGAAGAATGGGATCCGTATTGCAAGCAGCTTGATCACTGCAGGACTCACAGTTGCTGTGAAGGCTCACCGCCAAAGATCTCCATCAGAAGATGCATTTGTTGCCTTATCTGCCTGGGTTCCGTGCCTATTTGTGAACCCTAGTGATCACATCTGTTCAGAGTATGTTGGGTATTTTGAGCACAGGAAAAATATGGAGAAGATAGGAGCCGGAGGCATTGAGAAACTAGCAATGCAGAACTCTATAGGGAGCCTATTCATGGCTGCTATGGGGAAGCAAGCAGAACCGTTGCACCTCCTTCCATCAGCTAATCTGACCATAAATCTGAGCCCTTCACCAGATTTTAAACGAGCACATGGCATTCACCAGTGGTGGAGGCCAGATTTGCATTTGAAATCTGAAGTACATCTTTACCAATGACATAAGAGGCCACTATGTGATATGTTTATTCAGGCGTGTGGGGGCTGGGGAGAAAACGGTCTTTATCTTCTGTTTGTGCATATAAAGTACAAGCTTGTTCTATTTCTGATTCTTGTCTAGCTTAAAATGCTTTGGAATGCTGTTTCAGACCCTTGAGGCCTTGGACGCAAGGTTCAAAATATTGCAATGCATTGGTGCGTATCAGTTCTTGAACCCACTGAAACTCTATCTATATACAGGGTTTTTTTAAGGAGGGAAATGTACCAATGGATGGATCATGAGGAACCACAAGGGTAACATTTTAAGAGCAAATAGGCAAAAAATAATTTGGGTTATCATTGATTAATACAGATACAGAGATGAAATGTAGGCAGCGAGACAAAGCCACATCATGGCTACAGAGAGTAGTTACAGTAAGATATTTATTAAAGGTGATTCAACATTCAAGGATTGTGAGGACTTGGTTTGTGAAACTCATAGAATTGCCCCCCTCCCCGGAGCTGATGTGTCTAAATTTAGTTCATTGCAGCAGGGGTGGTTGTTGAAATTTCTGTCTGAACATGTTTATCATTAAAATACCAGACTTTTTTTTTTGTGCGTGTGTTGTACGCGTCCATATTTTGAACCATCCTTGAATCAGCCAAAATCCAAAATATAAACCAACCAGAGAATCTTAAAATTTTCTTTCTATTTCAACTTGGAAGCTTTGAAGAACTTGTAGATAGTTCTAAAATAACTTGCACTATGGTTCATTCATGTGCGTAAACCCCACGCATGTATAGTGTAATCTTGTTGGATTCCAATCAGCAAGTTAAAAGCATGGTACCTTGTTCTATCTGAATAACTTCCCTTCCCAAAAAAAATGAAAACGATGAAAACCGTTTTGCTGAACACCTGTACCAAATAAAAGCTAAAGCCTAAAGTGATGAGCTGATCAGTTTTTTACAAACTTATTGTCGTAGGAAGAATATATGATCAGTTTTTACAAACGACCTTGGGCATCCTTGACAATACGAGCACATAAAAGATAAAACCAATATTACATAAAATAAAGATGGCAGATGGTGGGTATCGGAGTAGTGGTTGATTTAGTTTTGATTTGAGAGGTGGGTTGTCTTCTAGCTTTTTGTCATTTATATTCCATTCAATATTGAGGTCCCATGTACAATATTTAATAATATGGTTGTAAGGGCTAAGGACTACCCACTGCCATTAGTAAAAACTAGTCCGTGGACAATGGGCACGCTTTAATTCCATGGTTTATGTGTTTGTTTCCATTTCGATTTACCATTCTTTTTTCTAAGGAAACAACCAAAACATGGGTTTTCGCCTGCTGTGAGGATGAGATGGACAGGCTCAAAACATGTATGAAGTTGTTTGTTGTATTACTTCAACGACTGATGGGATTTGTAAAAATGTCAGCAGAGATGAATCCTTTGTCAATTCCACAAAAAATGGGGTTTGGGTTTAAACTTTAAACTTGGCTTCCATGAATCCAAATCGGACAGAGCATTTGCTATTGTCTGCTTATTGATGACTCAGAAATCAACACTTGGCAGCATAGATGGCAGTCCAAAATTGTGGGCTTTCCGTGATAAGTAAAAGTGTAAATCATTCCAATTCTGCAAATGGTGAGATGAACCGTGAAGGAGACCTTTTTATTCATCCAGTACTAAAAACCAAGCTTCAAATGGTGACATTTCATTTAGGCAGCACAGCAGACATCAGATGATAAGCTGCAGTCCAGAGTCTGTGAATTATTAATAGAAGATGGACCCCCGAGTCATTTTGTGACGTGTTTATCAGGTGGTCACCGACCGCACTGGGTTCTGCTTAGGAAGCCCGAAGCTGGAAGGTCTTCCATTGTATGATGGTGAAGTTTTTACCCATCTGGTGAGCATTTTGGGGTTGTTAGGCATGAGACGGCCAACTGCCCACATGGCCTAGCCATGGATTATGTGACAGGTGTGGACATGAAACGCATCAAGTTAATAGCTCATGACCCACATATTTTGTTGGAATAACATAAGTTGAAGGACTTCTGGCTTAGCCTGAGAAGGAAAAAAAAGGAAAGAATCTTCTCCTGGGTTACTAGTTAGTTTTAGCAAGCCTCTTGTACTAATTACAAGTTCGATTGAACAAGAAGAACAAAGTTGAGTTAAAAACTCTTTTCAGTTTTCACAGTGGAAAATGAAACTGTGGAGTGATTGTCGTCCAGCTTTCGATATGAATTATGAGCTTGTAGAAGTGCCATCTCAACAACTCCAGTGGCATTGAACAGTTGAACACGGATAGAAGCATCCCATGAGATACGTTTGTTTGAGGGTCATCATCCATTCCATGGGACTGGAACAAATGTGGTTCCCCTCTGAGTTAGCAAGGCAATGTGCGTGATGAGATGTGGATGTGATCAGTGGTGTTCTTTGAGCATTGGATTGATGCTGCAACAATTTCCATTTGTTAATTCATGGATGGGAATGGGATACAACCTTCTTGATGATGGTGGGTGGGCCACCACTTGCACTACTGAAGCAAAAACAACTTGTCATTGAGTGGATCCTAAAGTACTACTGTATAACTCCACATGAATTGAAATTGAAAAGATGAAAAAGAAAAGGTAAAGCAGAAAACTTCCCACTCTCTTGTAAGCAATGTTAATTATTTTATTGCAACTCTTATAACTTATTAATGCTCAATTGAGTCCTCTTTAATGGTTCGTTAGGACAGGTGGGTCTCACTCTCACACGGTATTTATTTCAAATAGATGGTGTCCGGTGCATTTCTAAGGTGTAGAATAACGCAAAAAAATAATTGTATGGACACCCCATCTCATGAATTCATGAATTAGGAGGAAGAAATGGGTTTATGAGGGTGAGCTCTGGCTCACTGGCTCTGATATCGGAGGTTCAAACCTCAAACGTGTACATACCGTTGGCTAATTCAGTGGTGGTTGCATCGAGTTGTCTTTACTGTGTAATTGCAGCACTAAGTATCAAAATCTGGTTATCAGATTGAAGAGCTGATGAAGGGCAATGATTTAATAATAAATCAAATTGTTGGATGCTGATGGGTTAAATTAAAGTTACAACCTCAGCATTGGGATTAACAACCAGCATTAAAACCCTTGATAAGAACTAAAGAATATTTAAGACTTGTTTGTGGAAGTGGTGAACTGAAATTTGGACAGATTCCAAAGAACAGTAGGCTAAACCCTTGATAAGAGATTGCTAATAAATCATCCACCTATAGGAGAGAAGAGAGAATGATTGATGGTATCAACACAACGGCTGTACTAGGAAGACCTCCAATGTGTGCTCCAAAGTCCACACTTAGCTATTAGTCTTTTGTAAATGACCAAAACCAACAACTTAGCTGTCCCTAATCCATTAAACTAAAAACAAGAATAGAAGCCTCCATTTAGGCTTATCTAGATCTACCAGTGTTCTCTTCTAATGTGGATACATATAATACTCAAGAGGTTCTTTGGTCCACAATTTTGGATCCTATAGATTTATCAATACTTGAATAATCAGATAAAAGGTTTTTTCCTAGAAAAAACAGGTGATGAGACTAGTTAGGGTGTAACTTGGGTCAGGTTGGGTTGAGAATTTGTCAAATTTTGAATGAGCCCAAATCTTAACATGAGCCATATATGGTTGAAATTCTTCATGTGGTGTACAAGTTGTCAATGTGTGAGCCAGGTTAGTCAATAGGTTTTTATTATCTAGCACGCCCCGTTATGCAAAAGACTATCAAACTTGAAGTGTAGACAAGTACAGGCCCATCCACACCTTGTATTGAAATTTAATTAATTATAATAAAAGCGATAAGGATTGAACACTAAACCACTCGATCAAAGAGGCTATGATACCATATTAAAGAACTGTTCAACTTAAAATCTTAAGCTATTAGATGAAATCCCCAATAACGTTTTTATTTTTTAACAACTACAAGTCAATTAGTTATTTTACGGTGTATTTCAAAACTAAGACCCCAGTAGAAAATTCTATGCCAACTTTATCACTTATGGGTCTCCCAAGTTTCCTCTCCAAACTGAGTTTTCAATCTCAAGGCTTCACTACTCTTAGGCTTTGACCAAATTGTTACTCCATCCCCTATTTTTTGTAGGCTGTAATATGAAATATAATCATCTTTCGGACTGAGGCTTAGGCTTTATACAATAATCTTCTTCCATATTGGCTCCGTGCCGTTGTATTCACGGAACAAATTTTCTTATAACTGGATGACAAACCCAATTCCTTTGGTGGGGTCAAATAATCTTGAGAAGAAAATGCATTTAAAGCTTCTTTTCTGTCTCATCGCCTTTCCTAATACTTGCTGTAGCAGCAGAGGCCAATGTGCTTATGATGTAGGCCCAACATTTAAACCAGCAATATTGCAAATGGACTTAGATTTTGGACAATTTGTTAAATTCAATATGTGGGGGCAGATTAAATCCTCTCTATCTGGTCTAGGAAGATCTCCTTCTGGTTTATTGTATTTTTGCACTGCACCTTGTTGATTTATTGAATTGCTCTTGTCATCTCCAACTAAGTTCACCAAAGGTACCTTTGTCTCTACTCTCTAATGCAGCAGCAAGGGTTATATTTAGAGTCATTTACTAAGACACTTTCGCCATGATCAAATTTTCATTTATTTTTCTTTTTTTTTTCCATTGACAAATTTAAAACCTTATCAAGATCAATTAGGGTGCTCTTCATGAACGGAGACTTACACCATTTTATGGCAAAGGCTTAAGCCTCATACCAAATTTATTAGGTTTAAGCCTTCAGGGCCTTATCTCAAGGCATAAGCCTTTTAAAATTATGTTATTTAGAGGTTTCTTCCTAGAAAAAATAGGAAATGAGGCTAGAGTGCAACTTGGGTCAGGTTGGATTGAGAATTTGTCAAATTTTCAGTGGTCCCGAATCCTAATCTTCAGCAGATATTTGAAATTCTTCATGTCAGGCAACCTGACTTATAACCCTAGATGATGCCACAAGTCAACAAGTTATATTAAGTCCTATTTTAAAACTAAAACCCTAATCTCGATGTGGAAAACTCTATGCCATCTTTCTCAAATATGAACAATATTGAATTTAATCACACTTGTGGACTTCCCAAGTTTCCTCTCGAAAATGAATTTCCACTCTCAAAGCTCCACTACTCTAAGACTTGAACCAAAATTTAACCACCCCCATCTATTTTGCAGGCTGTCGATGAAATAATCATTTTGCATATTGAGGCTTGGGTTTTATACAATAATCGTATTGCAGCTTGGCCCTATTATATTCATGGGAACGGATTTTCTTATGACTCAAACGACAAACTCAATTCGTTTGGTGGGGTCAAATAATCTTCTAAAGATAATACACTTTAGGTCCGTTTGTTTTTCGGTAAGTTACTTATTCGGTTAAGTGTTTCTCAGGAAAGACTTATTCGGGTAAGTGCATTTACCTATATTCTTTTATTTCCCATGTAAATAAGGCAATGACCATTTTAACCATAAAAATCCATTATTAAAAAGAATATTTTTTGTCCCATTCAAATGTTGCCAACTTTCACTTATACCCAAGAAAATAAAATTTCCCCC